TTCACCATAGAATCCTGTTAATTTTTAACAGGTAACAATGGTAATTTTCTTTTATAGCCTTATTAACTTTTAATGTTCACCATAGAATCCTGTTAATTTTTAAGAGACTGAATACAAATATTTAATGTACACTTCTTTCAGATTGTTGTTGGAAGCACCGATTAATTTGAAACTATGATAATGCTAGAAGGAAAATAATACTGTAAAGGTAAAGTGACATCCTAAAAAAAACAAACCATCATCTCTTCATTTCTGTGATGACTTACTCTTATCAAGTGTATAAAAAATGCATAAAAGATTTGTGACTAATCATGTTGAACAATGTTTAAGCTCTGTGATAAATAAGAAGTTTGAATTGATTCACCTAATATGTTATTGTCAGAAATGAACATCATAATTTTGAAATTAGCAACTGCTTCCTTAAAATGGTTAAAGAACTGGATTACATTTAATAAAACTTTTATATCATACCCTTCAAGTAAATACAGCAGCAATCAAGGAAATTACCTTTAGTCTAAGGATAGTGTTAGGCTTCCAGTGCCTTTTCCTCATCAAATCTTCGGTGCATTATAGATAAAATGTAAAGGTTAGTCAAGCACTAACTTGCCGAAGTCTAGCAAGAAAGTTATATCAGCCATACATGGTAAAAATATACTATTTATGCAAATTTCACATAAAGCTTACTACTGGATTACTGAATTCTATTTTATTTAAACACATTTAGGTGTTAACAGTCAGTTGGGCAAAACAGTACATCAAAGAATGTATCATGATAAGTTGTAACTAAACACTACAATGCAATCTACACATGCCTGAAAAAAAAATTAATGATTAGCTCTTTGTTAAACAGGGAAAAGAAAGAAAATAACAAAGAAGCTGATACTAACTATAGGCAAATGCTGGAATTATTAAACATTTACACACTAGCTTTGCTTTGTCAGTAATAATTTTGTTATAAACATAGTTTTTAAATGAACAAAATCAGTAGGGGATTATTAATGTAAGCAACCTTATTTCATTTTAGCTTTACAGAAATATCTAACAAATTTTTGTGGAACTTATCTATCTCAAAAAAAAATATATTATATACATATTATTATTATTATTAACTTCTGATCAAAACAAGCAGCTTACATAGGTCACTACCTAAAATTAATCCAGTAAAAAAAAACACCCACTAAAGCAGGGTATAGCAACTTACAATCACAATTACCAAACAGCATTCTCTTAACTTCTAGTTATTAAAGGGGAATTACAATTTTTTAATATGCACACACAAAACACTTGTAAAACAATATAGATTCACTTAATAAGTGAGTCACAGAAAACAGATTCTAACATGATTGCAAGCAATTTTGACTTATAATACTGAACAATTCTGGGAATTATAGCTTGTGAGATATAATTTATGTGACACATTAATGAGCAAAAATGTTAATGACCATGTGGTATGGTGTGAGCCCTAACACCAACAGCTCATGTCTCTAGCCAGACTTTTGCTGACAAAAGATTCAAAGTATTTTGTTTGAGTAATAAAAGCTTTTCAAATCATTGATTGTTTGTTTATTTTTTGAATTTCGCACAAAGCTACGCGAGGGCTACCTGCGCTAGCCGTCCCTAATTTAGCAGTGTAAGACTAGAGGGAAGGCAGCTAGTCATCACCACCCACTGCCAACTCTTGGGATACTCTTTTACCAATGAATAGTGGGATTGACCATCACATTATAAAGACCCCACGGCTGAAAGGGCGAGCATGTTTGGTGGGACAGGGATTCAAACCCGTGACTCGCAGATTGTGAGTCTATTGCCCTATCCACCTGGCCGTGCCTGGCCAAAATCATTGATAATATTTTGAAATGTATATTCTGATAATGTATTTCAACTTAACGTGTACTTCACCAAGCTAACTGTAAGATGCCTTCAATAACGTAGTATATACATGCATACATACACAAAGATGATGTTTCACTATATGGGGAAAAAAAAAAAAAAAGAATGAAGCAAACTCGGTCTACCCAAACTCCTGTGAATCCATATTTTAACTTACACTTCCCATTTTGGCTTTAGGAGAATAATATATAGCCTTGAAAATACCAACCAAATGTCACTGATAAACTCTATGTAGTTTTTTTACTGCTCAAACACACTATGAGGTGTTTGATAAACAATCATTACATCACCCTTGAAACATTTCTAAATGTAGGAAAGGATGTCTGTCATAAATATATAAACATTCTTTGTTATGGGTCGTTTATATAACATGAGAGGTTGTTCCACACGACACGTGTGGCACTTACTGTTTGACTTTATCGGGAATGCACACGTGATCCATAGGAATTAACTCCGATAACTCTTTCAAGTTGTTCACAAACTGTAACTTCCGGCTGAATTTCGAACTGTGATCAGAAACATATGCTTAGTTTCTATAAAAGCAGGAACATTCTTTCTCCATATCTAACAATTAACACCTATATCCATAATCAATGATGAGAAGTGTAAATATTTCACTAAATAAGATACTCAGAGAAAAAGTAAATATGATTAGACAAGTTTTCAGTTTTATAAGCATTTTATATTTAAAATGTGCTTTCAGATATTAACTACAATAATATTATGAGAAACATGTCCATACAAAAGATATCTGTTTGACTGTTTATAGCACCTGCACTTTGTATAAAAAGTAATATACTGTATATTAGAAAATAAAATTTATGCATTTACACTAAAATAATCCTAATAATTATGTGTACAACAAAACATTAATCTACAATCAGTAAACCTTCTGTGTATGCGAGTCCTGCTACAGTTTATTCTATTACAAGAAAACCTTTTTTTAGTTTGCAATCTACACCTATCTAATATTTTGTTTCAATGTTTAAATTAATGTATTAAGTCGACCTATTGTTTGCTCGGTGAGCAGCAATCGTACAATTCTACATTTCTAAACAACAAATATAACTCAAAAGTTAATAATTCATATTATGAAAATTGAAATTGTGTACTGAATATGAGCAGGAAAAAGATTATAAGTTGACTGGACACAAGATATACAGGCTTTGTCTTTGTATACCTACAGATCATAGAGAGAGAGAGTACGGGGTCGAGTATGTTATTGTAAAGCAATCTTGAATACACAAATAATCAAGCAAGTAAGGTGATAACTACAGCCAATATGAAGTCACAATGAAACAGCATATATCAAACTACATTGTTTGGCATTTTGTAGGTAGTGTTATGCCACTTGAAATGTATCACTTTTTATCACTTTTTTATCAAATGTATCACTTTTTTTTTGAAAGAGTATGTAATTGCCCTTTCTGACATAAAATACTCTTATACCCAGATCATTAATGTGTGGTTCAAACAAGAGGTTTATAATTTCCAAGATTGGCATTGGAAAACAAAGGAATGCGAACCATCTTGGGGATACAGGACCGTCCAGAAAGAACCCTGCAACAAGTCATACCGCAGCCATAGCCAGAAAAGTGCAGCATGTTGTGACAGGTGAGAATCTGTCAACATAAAGGTCAGTGGCAAAAGACTTTCACATATCCCAAGAATCATTAAGCAACATAATCAAGAAGGATCTCTGCTCTCTGGGAATGAGGTCAAAGGGCATGGGTTCATCAAATAAAGCTACCAGTCATGCCTCCTATTCAACCATTGCATACCCAAAGTAGCTGGAGAATGAAATGGACATTCATGTTCTTTCAAAAGAAGATATACCGGTCAAGTCACTGGAAGCAACGCCTCTGGATTTGTTTGCAATCAGACTGTTGAAACACATGCTGGCAAATCAATGTTCTAATAATAGAGCCCTTTGCAATGAAAAGTATTCTGCAGAGTTATTGTCAAGATGCACAGTCATCAGATAGAGCATGAACAGATGTAGTGACATAGATCATAATGGCATGATCAGGTTCTAAAATCATTTTAATACAATATACTTAGCCCTCTGTATAAATGTAAAACTATGACAAGCTTCACAATATTCCTCTCAAGGGGTGAAAATGCCCTGTTGAAAAAAAGCTGCAACTTTTCATGATGTCAAGCAAGAGAAATTAACTTGAAAAACAAATTATGGTTAAAATAAAAGGTCTCATCAACAAAGCTGTAGAATAATGCTTGTTACTTTAATAAGTAATAAGATGAAAATTAAGAAATCTATATAGTACAAGGACAGTTACCACGAAATGAAATACTGTATTTTTTAAGCATAAATAAAGAGGTTACAATTCAGAACTAGTGTAAAATTACAACTATGGCTTAGTGTGAATCATACTGGTTTTAAGTGCAAGTGATTTGATGTGAATAATACAGGTTTTTAGTGGAAGTCGCTTGGTGTTAATAATACTGTTTTTTAGTGGAAGAGGCATGGTGTTAATAATATTGGTTTTTAGTAGAAGTGGCATGGTGTTAATAATACTGGTTTTTAGTGGAAGTGGCTTGGTATTAATAGCACTGGTTTTTAGTGGAAGTGGCTTGGTGTGAATAATATTGGTTTTTAGTACAAGTCACTTGTTAATAATTCTGGTTTTCAGTACAAATTGCTTGGTCTGAGTAATTCTGATTTTTAGTACAAACCATTTGGTGTTAATAATACTGTTTTTAAGTTCAAGTCATTGGTGTGAATAATTCTGGTTTTTAGTATAAGCTGCTTGGTGTGAATAATTCTAGTTTTTACTACAAGTTGCTTGGTGTTAATAATACTAGATTTTGTGTGGAAGTGGCTTGGTGTGAATAATATTGGTTTTAGTACAAGTCGCTTGGTGTTAATAATACTGTTTTTCAGTGCAAGTTGCTTAGTACAAATAATATTGGTTTTTAAGTGCACATGAAGTAAAAACAGATTTGTCACTTTAAAAAGTAAGGTTACATCTACATGCTGATTTTAATTCTGAACAGAAGTTACGATAAATTTTGCACGAAAGAACAAAAGATTTTTCTACGCAAGTAACAAAACATAACATGAAATCCAATACTATATTTATAAGAAAACATACATTCTGCATGTACAAGCAAAACATGAAATTTAATCTTTAATTATTATTGTAATTAAAAAACTGATTTAGTTATTAAGGCACACTTTTGACTCGTCTAAAGACGTTACTCACCTAATAAATGGTCTGGTCATGATGACAATAGTTTTTACCCAGAACGTTGGGTGAACAAGGTAGAGACCTTTTAAATTCTTCCTTAACCTTGATAAAATAATATGTAATATAAATTATAATAAGGCTTAAAACCAATTCTGCATCATCACTTTTATTTCACTGATTAACTGGTTTGATTTGGTTCAGATATACAAAGGTTTTTTTGATAGGACATTTTAATTACGTACAGTTAAAGGTCTAAGTTTTTGGAATTTTTGTTTTAATACGAAAATTTTAAGTTACACATTTTACTGTAAGGCAGATTTATACTGATAGGTTAGTGAGTGTTTAGTAAACATACCATCATTTGTTCTAAAGAATTCAATATACATGTATAAAAGTACATACAGCCAACTAGTATCGGACAATTTGATTGATAAAATATGACGATGATGGTCTAGAATGCCATGAAAACATGTAGTTTTTTTAGGGTTGTGCCCTGTTTTTTAATCATTTAATACTGTATATTCATTTTATATTATTTTTAAGACAAAATCTAGTCATGTTTTCAGTTTTATATCTCAAAAAGAAAAAAAAATTCATGAAATTGATTATACAACCTGCAACTTCACACATAAGACCGATGTATCTAAAGGATACTGACTGTACACCATACAGATTAAAAATGTGTGAAAATACTGGATATTATGGCAGGACTTGGTTGATTTCATTCTACAAATGTAACTAATGTTGCATCATAACAAATCATCATGTTAAGTTATAAATATCCACACATTTTATTGATTACCTATAAACCAAAATTAAAAGAGCAATGTATAATCATAAAATTCTATTTGAGGCTGATAATGTCTAACATGCATATAATACCAAACAGATTAGATAACACACTTCAAACAGCACATCATGATGATCTCCTTTGGTTAAAACAAAGGAAAACACATCAGAACAGGATATTTTATCTAGTCTGGCTAGCACTCCCAAGTTAAGGTCTTTCCAGTTTTGGATTTGGATGACAAAAATTTAGTCTAAGCTGTACACTGTGTAAAAACACACTATTTCAAAACTAAGTTTTTATTTGACACGTCTTAATTAAACTTTAGGTTTTCAGTGATCTAACAGTTAAACTAAATTATAAAAATATACATTGTGGTTTACCTCTAATTTTGAAATTCAAGAGATCATCGAATTTTGTGGATTATTATCAATTTATACGTAAAAGAACTACAAAGAATACATAAACTTGAAAAATAAGTAGAGATTACTTGTTAGCAGATAACTGAAAATGTTAAAATCAAGAAAGAGACCCAATAACACGAGTTCTTTTGGAAGGTGGACATTCCTTCTTTTGGGTTAAACGGCTATATTCTAATTTAGCTTTTACAGAAATGTTTTATAAAAACATTTTTGTGCAAAAATAATTGTGTATTTTTATCATTTACAAACCTCCTGTCTATCATATGGTAGCACCTCTTAAGCCAACCAAACCCGGGTATGTTACTTCGCTGAGTGGCCCCATGAAGGTAAACCAAAATCTAGTCTAATTGTATATTTTTATCATTTACAAACCTCCTGTCTATCATATGGTAGCACCTCTTAAGCCAACCAAACCCGGGCATGTTACTTCGCTGAGTGGCCCCATGAAGGTAAACCAAAATATAGTCGTCTGCTATTAGCTGATCCAATGTGGAGAGAACATACCTGAAAAATTTCATATGTTATTAAAGCAAGTCAACAGTAAAGAAATGAACTCAGGAATAATAATCAAATTCTTGTAAACGTTAAGCATGGTCACAACTGTAATTTCAAGCGTTGAAAAACTCTGGATGTAACAATTTACACGGACTTGTACAATAATCTAAGTATCAATTATAATGCAGACGTGTAGTGTCTGATCGAGTTTATTAACTTTTATAAAAAAAAATTTATTTAGAAAAATGTTTAAGATACGCAATTCCAAAATTATTTTTAAAAGAAAGATTCCTTCTAAAATTATTCTTATAGGCAAATATGTTTGAGTAAATGTAGCTGTAAACATGTTTTAGACAATCCATAATTAGGCATTTCAACTCAATATTACTAATGCATAACATCCTGAAAGTACTTGATATATTTCATTAATATTTTCAATAGATATCATTATCATATTTCTATTTATTGATAATTAATTGATTTAAGGCAATATTTTTTAAATTCTGACGTGTCTCGGTTTACATCTTTAGTCCTCTTGGATGTATACAAAACTTTATATTTTTCTAACATAAATAACCTGCCAATTCCACAACTATTTGTGTATTCAGCCCAGATTTCAGAATGTAACAATGAGAAAAATGGTGTATGCAAAGAGAGACAGAAAGACTGAGAATGCCCAATTAAGTAAAACATACAACAATGATACTTTTATAGTGTCAGGAGATAATATACACTTAAATCACTTTGAACTTTCTCGGACCATTTCTTGTTACAATGTAATTACAAAGCCTTGTTATATCATTAATTTATGTAGAATAGTTTATGATTTTACTATTACTACTTTAATGTACAATAAGTTTACATCAGTATTATTTATAACACTGCTGTTGAACAAATAAAAAAATGATTTAAAATTTTTTTTAGTGTGTTTGTGGGGGAATAACTGAAGCTCAACATTACGTGCTGAAGCATAAATGCATTACAATTTCAATAAATGTTGAAAAAAAATCAGCCAAGTTAAACAATGTGTGACAGTCTCCTATTCATAATAGCTTACACTGTAATGGTACTGAAGAAAAACAACACACACAGTGTACATGTATTATCAAAATTATATTTTTCAGTGACATAAATTAGTTAATTTTTTAAATTTTAAATATACCATTACTATATTTTCTAACTCTTCCCCTTTAGATATTTATTTCTGAAAGAACTGATAATTTTCAGATCTTCATGCAAAGACTATCAAATATTTTTAGTGTAAGAAAATTTTGTTAAACTTTTCCAAGTTCATATTTTATTAAAATTTTAAAGCCAGTAACTAAAATTCTTGATTTTGGTAAATAAAATGTTCCTGGACTTTGAAGTTTTCATTTATAAAACCCAATAAGATATTAGTTTTTTCAAGTACAAGATTTAACATAATGCTTTTACACAGACTGTTTTTATTATTAAATATATATTTTTTGTACTCCTTTTCAAGGGAGAAAATTAATATTATCAAAGCTTAGCAAATAAATGTATAACAATAATAAAAAAAAACTTACAAAAATAAATTATCCATAACATAATCATAATCTCTCCGGCTACGGTCAGGAAGGTAACAAGCACTGAACACTATTATAGCATTTCTATTTGTGCCATAGTAACCTGGAAAAACAAAACAGACATCAATATTCATTAAAATGATTCTCAGTAACAATGTTTTTGTATATTGTTAGTGCTTAACAATGAAATAAAAGAAACATTTTATATGTAAAATCAACAATCAAGATCAACACAAACCGGCTTGAACCTAATTATGTACAGAATGAACTATGACATTAAAACTAAGTAGTTATTGAAATTTTACTAAACGAAATAACGTGCTCATATTAGTTATAGTAAGAAGACAACAATTTATTTTATGACATTAAAATAATTACACATCATACACAGATTTCATATAAACCTGTAGTTAATTCTTCTTTGTACCACTGTAGTGTTTTCGTTACACACATCCATTTAGTAACATTTTTTACCTCCGTGAGACATGACTTTTCTATACGGTTCAATAACTTTGACATCAATTTTCCTTTCTACACCACCAACTGTACAAGTCTGCCAGTTTCTTTCACCATCCATCTCCTCAGCGGCTGACAGTTCAGGAATTGAATCACTTGCTGTACCTAGCATCAACAGTGCAAAGATGTCCATCAGTGGTCACAGTGAAAAAAAAGAAACAGTTAAATGCAAGGATGTTTTTAAATTTTGCTTACCTAGTTGTACCTGGCACCAAAATAGTGCAAAGAAGTCTACCATCAGTCACGTAGTGAAAAACAAAATTAATCGTAAGAATGTTTTTAAATTTTGTTTACCTGTCAGAATAGAGGCAGTGTTCGAGAACTGTGGTAGCAGCTACAAATTATTATAGTGCTCCCCTCTCCTCTCATACCCTTTCAGAAATAAGTTGAAAAAATCCCTTGTGAATGTAAACAAAACACTATTTCTTTACAGCCTGCTCCAAATACCATACTGACCACAACCACCCTTTATTCACAGAATGCATAGCATTGATTAGTCTTTTAGGCATAATCCATATTAAACTTTTGTACATTGCACTTCCACTATCACAAGTTGTAGAACTTTTTATTTCAATTTACAGTTGTAAGTTGGATTTGAAGCCAATTCACTAAAAAACTGGGAATACTATATCTGTACAATGACTATAAAGAAAATCCCACATTTAAAAACATTATATTTAAAAAAATACTTAATCACTTGTCCGAAGGAAATGAAATTTCACCAGAGGTGCACTGAGAATCATGTTTTATTTAAGAAAGTTTAGACATGCTACAAGATGTTTGAAAAACTGTCACAGAAGGTGTTAAATAAATTTCCATAATTTTCAATTGTTTTTCTGTTCTGGATAGTCTTAAGTGATTTTCACAATCTCATACCTAACGGCATTTTGAGATCCCCCATATTTCGTGGGCTATTTGGATAGACATTCCCTTTGAAAAAATCTCTCAGCCAAAAACCTGTGGTTTAATATCTTATGATCTACAAGAAATAATTATCATTTGACCACAGTAAAACGACCACATTATTCTGATAGTACAATCAAAAGAAATCCACATGATTCTGGGAATTGATAAGCAATCTGTTTATTGAAATCACCAATCTCATATTGCTGAGAGAGAGAGAAAGAATAAAAATAAAAGCAATAGAAGTATGTTAAACAGTCAACTTACTCTTACCATGTCAAAACTTTCTTGATAAAATTTGTAATTTTCAATTTGCTTCTGGTAAAATTTTATTCCCCTAACACTAGTACGTTTATGATATAATCATTATAAATATAGGACTTTCTTTATACTCACCCTGTAGCTAACTTTACTATCAAGACATTTCTAGCAATGTTCTTAATGAAATGAGTCACATAGTTTATAGGGTTCTTTCTGGTTAAAAATAATAAAAATTATACACAAATCATTTTGCTAACATTGATTTTTTCAAAATATAAATCAGTTCTTTTTGATTCTTTCTGCAATCTCAGATTATAGGCCTTTGATGATGTAGGCACATTTGTTCGTTTTGTAGCTACACAAGGGATTATCTATGCTGTGTCCACCACAGATACTGAAACCTAGTTTTTATCATTATAAGCCTTAAGACTTACTGCTGAGCCACTGGGGGGCTGATGTGGGTAAGTAAAAAAAATCTATAAAATTACACTAGGGTATTGCATACAGTGGTGATTTAATTTAGCTAGCCAAAATAGTATAACGTAACTTTAAGTTCAATAAAAAAAATTATAATTTTATTTATCCTGGTAAAAAAAGGAACGACGTGAATACAATTAACATGTGACTGAGTTGTAAAACTACGATGCCACACTGTGCAGAGTTTCAGTTGCCCACTGTGTTTTGTGCATAAGAGCTGTCATGGAGATAATAATTGTGAGAAACTCTGTTTCGTAAACAGTTTCTACCTAGTAATGACACAAATAACAATAGCATACACCATACACAATATAAGATATTTGTTAATGTTTATATTTGAAAAGTTTCTTAGAGTTTGCATTTTATTGTATCATTTGTTTAAATATGAGAAACATAAAGTCTCTTCTCCTCCTTTAGTGTTGTAAAATATTTTGAATTTGCTTTTATTTACTCTTATTAAAAAAAAACTTGCAACAAAAACTAAATGCATCTTAGTAGAGTAAGTAAGGTAAACACAGAATATGTAATATTCAGGGTTTTAGGTGTGTGTGTGTTTGTTTTCAGAATAAAAAGTCACAATTAACAGAACACATAGTGTAGAATTTAGATGACAATAAATTCCGACACAGTGTAAGAAACTTTTGGAAGGAAAGGGTTAAATATGTTTTAAAATCAAATGGTCTTAACATATATCTTAAAGAAAATATTTAGTTATAATAACAAAAAAACAACAAAAAAACTATAATGGAAATAAATACCACATATTAGAAACTCACAGAAGTTACAACTACTTTACTTCACATTTCTAACTATAACCATAAACAAATCATAAAATTCTTACGTTCTAGAACAGAGTCATCCAAGTCATCAGGGGTATCCATATCGTCTCCAGTGAAGTCCTCAACAGGTGACATCACATCTGCATCACTTTTGTTGCTGACTGATGAAATACTCCTTTGATCATCATCATTGTTATCTGAGCCAAGAATATCTGGATGAACTGATATCTTCTTTTTCCTCACAGTTGAAAGACTTAATGGACGCTCTGAAAAGTATATCATTATATTTTTCAAAGTTTACGCAGAAAAGGCACATTAAGTATTATCTACATATTTTTACCAAAAATAATTTTCTTTTTAAGGGGTCCTGATTCATTTTGAATGACAAAAAAAAAAAAAAAAAGAAGATGGATCAACATAAATATTCATCCTTATAGCATTGGTAAAATGCCCCCCTGGGGCGAGGATTTTCCCCAGTAAAAATATGCATCCTGACCCAGCTACTTTTTCAAAGCAAATGCTACATTTATACAGTTAATAACTTCACCACTAAATTTGCAGTTAAATATAATCCTACTGACACACTTTGAATCCATATTTCAGTTCTGATTTCTTGTATCACTTATATGGAAAATATAGAAAAGAACCATATAAATTTATTTTGAAATAAGTTTCTAACTTTAACATAGCTCCAAAGAAAAGTTTTACCTGTCCTAAAATGCTTAAAATTTAGTTCCAGGAATAAGATTTACCTGTCCTGAAAGTGTTTAAAATTCATTTTTGGTCGGGAGGTCCCCCCCCTGAACTCCTGCTGGGGGAAACCCCTTTTAGTTTTGAAATACCATTATATTTTAAATAATAACAACAGCTCTATCTTTATAACGAAATTTTTTAAAATTTAATTTAATTTAAACTTAGAATTATCAAATATATATTCATGAGGATTTTTGTTTCACTGCTATATAATTAAATTTGATTTCACAAATGGCCGCTCTTAAAAGCGGTATGCGTATTTTTGACCTGAAACTTTTTTCAGGAAATAATTTCATTACATTTCTTATCTATATTCATAAAGGCTAAGCGATACACAAGAATAAAAAGACTATAAAGTTAATCCCGAACAACATGCTCGGCTATTAAGTAATAGTATACATTGGCATCTAATATGTGGGAATTAAACAATAGTAGAGAAGGATTACTGAAGATATTCTATCAGCTAATTTACATCAGTTAAAAAACTATCAGCAGAAGTTTAAGAAGTATTCCCACACAAAATAAGTCATATTTGTTACAAAGGGTTAATGACAATTTAAAAATGCAATAAATTCTTCAGTAACCACCATTACATGTCTTATTAAAAAAATAAAACAATGTGAAGAATGGTGAAGGAAATATTGTTGTTTAGTCACTGCTTTAATTTAGTTACATAGTAGAAGTACAGAAGTAGGAATATTGCTTGGTCAGTTGGTTCCCACATTCACCAAAACACAAGTTTTGATCCTTTTTTTTTAATTGAAAATTTCTTTAATAAATATTACTGAAGTATATATATATACATCAGACATATTGGTTACAAGAATGTCATTCCCATCCCATGTAGTATATAGAAGTTTAACATCTATGACAATTCTTACTTCTTCTTTATTAACATCACTGTTGGAGTCAGCACTTTCTTCTGCTGTACCAACATCACTGTTGGAGTCAGCACTTTCTTCTGCTGTACCAACATCACTGTTGGAGTCAGCACTTTCATCTGTTGTACCAATATCACTGTTAGAGACAGCACTTTCTTGTGTTGTACCAACATTACTGTTGGAGTCAGCACTTTCTTCTGCTGTACCAACATTACTGTTGGAGTCAGCACTTTCTTCTGCTGTACCAACATCACT